GTAACCAGATTTTTTTCCAGGGAATCCCCTGTGTGTAGCACAGACTTTGGATAAGACTCAAGATATCTTTGGACCTCCAGTCTGCATGATGTGACTGGTATTCCTGAATAAAAACCTATTTATGTTCTGGATACTTTTGCAATGACAACACAATGGTTCTGACTCCCGAGTAAATTTGAAGTAAATTTGTATTGTATAGAATTTATTGGAAGCAATTAGATGAATAACTATATATATTTTATACTTCTTTATAGCATCGACTTGTAGGCCATTGGCAATTGCCTTGAAATTAAAGTGTTTTTGAGAAACAGCAGAAATAAGTACAGTGCTATTAAAACATTTTATCATTGTGCCAGCTCCCAATATGTCTGTAAGTAGTTTCATCAAAGATGAAAGAGGTCAAAATGCAGGACAGATGTTGAGTGAACCACATTTAGAGTCTGTTATAATCTAGTATTTTAAACTGATTTTGCTTCATCTGTGAAAGAAAGGTACACTTTGCAAGATTTTGAAAATGAAAACATCAGGAAATATTTAAAGAGCAACTTCAGCTAATTAACTTTGATCAGCAAAACTAGTATATTGATTGAAGCTTTTAGATTCTGCTTTCTCTGGAAAAAAACAGATGCACATTTGTACACAAGACAATTATAATGAAAACTTCTGTTCTGACAGTCAGATTGCCATTCTTCTGGTCAAAACAAGTCATTTGAACCTAACATGCATTTGTAATAATAATCCTTGCATTGATATAGCGCCTTATCACGTCTTGGGAGACATCTCAAAGCGCTTCACAGAATATACTGTAAAGTGAATGGACTATGTTTTGTGGGCAAAACGCGGAAACCAATTGCGTACAGTAGTGTTCCACAAACAGTCGTGGATTGAGTGACCACATTTTTTTAAGGGATTATTACCCCTGAAAAAGCAATCCGCCAATCGACTAACAACCGGATTCCTATTTACTGCTAGGTAAACAGAGATGTGTGGAGAAAGGAAACTTGCCCAATGTTTCACCCTGCCGGGAATTGAACCCAGGTCCTCTATTTGAGAGGTGAGTGCTCTAACTACTGAGCTACAGGACTCCACAAATTTTCATGTCGCTCTCATATTATTTACAAGGTGAACATACTTTGCGCCTCAATACTATGCCAACTTATTCTTTGACAACTTAGTCAAATGTCTCAACAGTCAAAATGTTTTCATTCATTTATCAACAAAATCTAACCAGTATCAGAACCTCTCCTCCAAACCAGGCATTCACTCCAAACAATGCATGAGAAACCTTGTTTTTCAGCCATTGACATTAAGTACTCACAGCAGGTCAGAGTAAGACAGACACAGAAATCTTAGAATCTAACAAAGCTACTTGTTGATGTCGCAGACATGAGAATAGTGGCAAAGCACCCCCCACAAAGAACAGAAACTGACAGCCTGTGGAAAATTTATGATGTTCCATGAGCTGAAGATAATATTCCTCCATAGTGGGATAAAACTGAGAAACCTTGCACCCTGCTATCAAATGGTTGTGTCTAACAAATTGTATAGAATTACATAAAATGTTACAACAAGCAAACAGGCCATTTGGCCCAACGTGAGTGCTGATGTTTATACTCCACATGAACCTTCATCCCTCCTAATCCCCTCTACTATACTCCTCTACTCCCTCCTCCCTCATATGTTCACCAAGTTTCCTCTTAAATACGTTGATGCTTTTTGCTTCAACTACGGTTCCCCATAGTGAGCTCCACCCTCTGCCTTTTTATTGCTGGACAAGTAGTCTGGTTACCATTCGATTACTATTACACTGAAAACATTTAGACATCCTAGAATTCGTAGGGGTAATATACCATCCAAAGTAAAAACAAAATCAAGCGGTTAGCTCTTTGTCTTTAGATCTCCAGTATTGTAGTGCTAGAGGTCCTGAATAATAAACCTATGTATTTGTTATTCACTTCATGGCTGTTTGTCGGACTCGCTGTACACAAATTAAAGAGGAGGTAAGCGAGCATGGTAGGAGGTCACCTCCCAATACATTATGGAAACCAAAGTCTAATATAATAATAATCATCCTCGCATTTGGTTTAGTTCTTTTCACGTCAGGAGGATATGCCAAAGCGCTGCACAGGATTTACTGTGAAGTGGAGTGACTGTGTATTTGTAGGTGAACACAGCATCCAATTGTGCACAGCAATGTTCCACAAAACAGACATGAAACAAATGACCAATTTTATTTGGGGGATTGTTGCCCAGGACACTGATAGAAAATCCCTTCTCTTTTCGAATAGTGCCTTTATTGTCATCTGAACAGGGAGATGGGACCTCAGTTTATGGTCTTGTCTGAAGGATGGCACCTCCGCCAATGCAACCCCCCAGCCCCTCCGCCCAGCACTGCATTGGAGTGTCAGTTTAGACTATGTCAGTTCAAGTCCTGCTGTGGGTCTTGAACTCACAACCTTCTGACTCAAGAGGCTGGAGTGCTGCAAACTAAATCAGACTGACACATATTTATGGTGTCCGCAGTCTTCATCAACGTTCAGTACTTTTAAATTAGATTCAAATGTTCACACAATAGCGGATAGTCTGGAACAGTTAGGGAGAAGCCCAGCAATCATAAAAGAATAACACGGTATAGTTTTTTTATTTAAAAAAAACACAAATAATGAAATATTTGGAAGTTTTTAGTACCCTAAATGAATCTCAAGGAGAGGCAGACCTGACCTCTGTTTTGACAAGACGATTGAGACAGAATGTGAACTGTGTAGGGCAGTCACTTTGATGGCTCCATGAAACTATTAATGCTGCTATGAGGAAAGTCTGTGGAGTGTGGAGAAATCTCATAACCAAATCAGCACTGCCATAAGCCAACTGGAGGAATTTGTGGATATCCAATTTGACTACACATGTGACTTTGATTAAGAATAGCATACAGAATGTGGGAGCCGATAATGGCTGGCTTTGACTCTGGATGAATCGTTGCAGTAAGCAAAATCTCAAGTAGGGATTTTGTTCTATAGTTCTGCACTCACATCCAGAAGCGGACAGCTAGAAGCGATGTAATCCATGACTGGCATTAATACAGTAGAGTAGCAACCATTAGAGCCAGAAGGCTCTTAGGGCAACAAATTTAACCCTATCTACCAGCCCTGATAAGGTGATTATTATTGCACGCTTCCCAGAAATGTACACTGCATGACTGCAGCACCAGGCAGTTCTGAAAGTGATATGGGTACATCAAGGTTAGTTGCGTTTACACAGAATCACCCTTCTGTCACCCCGTATTGTTTAAGTGAAACAGCTGTACTATTTCATCATAGAGGAATATGAAGTAGGCCATAAAAATTAGCGACCTAAGAGAACACATGTTTGACAAGGGGGTAAATGTATGTACACAGTACAACACTTATTTTTCACACATGGCCTTCAAACAATAATATTGCCTTGTGATTTATATTAGTTTAATAAATGTGCCACCCACCTACCAACCTGCCCGTTCCCTCCGCTCAGCCGGCTCTGGTCTGCTCCATGTCCCCCGACCTACCCGCCCCACCATTGGCGGGAGAGCCTTCAGCCACTCTGCCCCCAACCTCTGGAATTCCATCCCCCAGTCACTCTGCCTCACGCCTCCTTAGCCTCCTTCAAGTCCCGCCTCAAGACCCTCCTCTTCGACCATGCCATCAGCTAACCCCTTTCCCCTCCCCTCCCTTCCCCACCCGACCCCAGCTCGGGTCTGAAATACTCTGTCCAGCGCCTTGGGACGTCCTCCCGACGTGAAAGGCACTATACAAATATAATGTTGTTGTTGTTGTATGTCTTCTCTCTAGTCACTCTATTGTTCCATCAGAACTTGCTTTGTACTGTCTCTCCTTAGCAATATTGTACAACAAAAAACACACCAAAATGTAGTCCAAGCAACAAAACCTCTATTTTAATACTGTGAAATATCACCCTGCATATGTTATACTACTTTGTTCAGGGTGTGTGTCATTATCTATGCAAAAAAATCATAACATTTGATCTGTAGTCATCAATTCAAGTTGCCTTTTGAAACAAGTTGGCAACTCATGAGGATCTCAAAACAAAGGAATTATATAAGTATCAGTAAAGCATTCAAAAGCACAATGTTACCTTGAGTATTGCACATAAAGCCCATCCATGTTTAAGAAGTGGAATCCTTTCCTGATCATATGGTCTGGTGACTGCATATTTATGGACATGTATACATTAAATTTACTGTTTCTTTAACATTGGTTGTTGTGTGTTTTCTCTGAAATCAATGTAGTAGACGTCTTATTATATATGGCATTCAAAACTTACTGGATGATGCATGAATTGTTAAATTGGCTGACTGCCTCATTGTGCCTGCAATGATTCATTGACAAAGAAATTGAGCCACCGGCAGAGCTATATCACTGGAATTCACCTGAAAATCTCCCTAAATAATTTCTGTAATTGCTTCCCAAAAGGCAATCGAACCTGTCTCATGCATTGCTCCTTATTGGACCAATATTGTGTGAATTAATTTTTAACAGGTAGCTTTAATAATAGCCCAACATAAATTCAACTTGTGTGCACCCCGAGAATTTGAAAATGCTAACAATTCCTTTTTGGTAAGGCAAGTTTAATACCTAATTTTAACAGCAACAACAACATTCAACAAGCATTGCTTAAATAATGATATTACATCTGACTCATTTAATTGCCTAATTAAGAGTAATCACTTTTCCTGTTAATGCGACAAATTTAACAGTGAGATACTCCCACAAATAAATATCATGTCATCTTGGTTTCCCTCTCCCTTGTACTTCAGGTAAGAGATATTTTCAGAGATACTCTTCAGCTGAATAATGTATGAGACTGGGCAAAAATAGGGTTAATCCTTTACTAACAATCACATTAGTATCAATTAGACGGAAGAAAAATTGATTATTTGATTTTCATTTGCACGCACCCATACACACATTTAAACAAACCCTGCTACAAAAAAAGTCAGTACTTACTTCTAAATCATTGAAAAATAGATGTGTATCTGCCAGGTTAAATATCATTTCTTCCATTCGTAGCCCGAGTGATACTGATGTAGGTGGATCCTAGCAAAAAATACAAGTAGAAATAAGAAAATTAACATTAAGAGTACAAAGGTATTTAATGCAAACTTGTGAGAGAGACAACTTTTTGTGTCTTTTCAATTTCAAAGCAGCCTTTAACTGTTAAAATGTTTTTTTTCGCCTTGCCTGGGAATCAAAGCCGGGTCCTCTTGCTTTTGAGGCGAGCATGCTAACCGATACGCTATGGGGTTCCATATTGATGTAAATTTTGCTTTGCAAAAGTAGAAAGAGGTTCAACATCTTCTCACATATTCACTTGTCATTGTAGAGCAGTGAACTGATACCAAAGAATAATTGGTGCAAGTGATTACCGCCAACAGCTAATTATTTGCATTTCTCTATCTGAACAGACGATATATTGCTAACAGTAAATGTACTTGGTGAGGAAGTATTTTGAGAATCTGAGATCTTAATTGTTTACCTCAGGCTTGTGCTTTCTTAATTGAGTAAATATTAAATGAAGATAGACCAACAGTAAATCTATTACAGAATTGTACAGGATACTTATACTTTGTAAAGCTTTATTCAATTTTCACTTCATCATTTAAGGCTTCGGAAGGTTTGTTAAAACTAATAGCATTTCAAAATGAGTAATACTGATACCATGAGTAAGTGATGCGATAAGATGCTATATCAAATGCAAGGATTATTCTTATTTTTCTTTTATTCTTATAGTTGCCCTAATGGCTTCATGCATATCTTCTCATGAAAAATATTAAAGTAAATTGGATTCATTAAAGAAAATGTACATAAATTATTTTAAAATTATATCGGGATACTTTAACTTCTCATTTTGCTCTCTATTTTCCGTTTTTTATATCTGTTTTATCACTGATGGATTCATAAAGTAGCCCATTGAAGAGGGAGACAAATAAATCAAGGAGAAATAAGAATTAATGCCAAGTTAAACTGCTGAAAGCAATTTGAAATTGGTAATGCTATTGACCCCCAATTCAACAACTTTAAAAGCCAACTGAACTATGTAAAAGTACTCAGTGATGGACACACAGGTCTCTCCTCAGACACAGACAAATGAATTTGGAAGAAAGCAACAAATATTGCCCACTATTCTAAACGACTACTGTTGGAAGGCATTACATACAGCAAAGGGTTTCTACGCAAGTCAGACACCTAATTGACAAAAGTTACTTATATAAAAAATTACCTAACTTTTATTTGAAAAGCAGTATAATCATATTGAAATAGTTTTGTCCCTGAAAACATGCATTCACGTGACAATGAAAATATTTTGAAATAGGTAATGTAGTTTGGAGCTGTTGACGTTAGAACATAAGAAAACAGAGAACAATCCTTTTTTTCCCCAAGTCACAGTTCCAATGAAAATCATTCTGTTTTCAGTCCAAAACTCTAACAAAAACCTTCAATTTAAATGAGTGTCATTCATAATAAAGGTTGTAAAGGAATGAAATTGGTATTTAATATATAACTTGTTTTTTTTTAAAAAGGGGTCCAGGATTTAAAAATCTGTAATTACTCTTGATGGCTTGATGTCACATTTGTCATGCACCTATATAAAACGAGGTGCTGCTATATGACACAAAGAAAAATGGACTTCATTTAAGCTCTTAGTTTTTTTTGTTAAAGCCACTAATTCAAAGCTAATCATTCTGAGTTGTAATAATACACTTCGAAAAAAAAGCTTACAATGCATGCATGTTTACAAGGATTTGCAATTCAATGTGATGCTCTTGAAAGCTGTAGTTAAACTCTGAACAAACCTTTGAGGGAGGTAAGGATTAAGTAAAAGGGACAAACCGTACAGCATAGAATCCAAAACAGACCTCTGTTCTGCTTAGAGCAGTTTGGATTGAAAACATGGGTTGAATGCCACTTTTAATTTCACCTCACTGAACCAGTCACTTCAAAAAAACGTTGAAGAATAGGAATGATTATCCACTGTACAGGTTTACACTGAAGAAATGATTATTACAGCCTTACAAGAAAATGAATAGAAAACGACCAACACTCAATCAAAATTAAAAAATGGTTCATTCATTTCATGGCTGTTTGTTGGACATTGTTGTGCGCAATTGTGCTGCCGCGTTCGCCTATAAATATAGTCACTCAATTTCTCAGTAATTCCTATGAAGCGCTTTGAGACATCCTTCTGATGTGATAAGGCGCTGAGCGAGTCTCGAACCTTGGCATCTTGTTTAACCCTCAAATATCCTTTCTACCCCACATCCGTGCCATGTCCTACTCTGCCTTCCCCCACCTCTGCAACATCGCCCGGCTCCACCACTGTCTCACACTGCAGGCCGGAGAGACCCTCATAAACGCATTTATAACATCCAGGCTCGACTTTGCAAATTCCCTACTTGTCGGTCTTGCCAACTCCTCCCTCCATAGGCTGTAGATCATCCAGAACGCTGCAGCCAGTGTTCTCTCCTGCATCAGGCTCCATGACCCTATCACCTCCATCCTCGCCTGACTCCACTTGGCTTCCCATCACACAGAGGATACAGTTCAAGATCCTGGTGCTCACTTTCAAAACCTTCAATGGCCTTGCTCCCCCCTAACTCTGTGACCTCCTAACCCCCTAACAACCTGCCCGCTTCCTCTGCTTCACACACCATTGGCGGGCGGGTCTTCTACCCCCAACCTCTGGAACTCCATCCCGAGGTCCCTCCGTTTCACCCCATCCCTTGCCTCCTTTAAGACCCGCCTCAAGACCCTCCTCTTTGACTGTGCCTTTGATCACCCTCCTTCCCCCCCCGCCCCCCACCCTCCCCGATCCTGACCTCCAGTCCAAAACACTGATTGTCCAGCACCTTGGGAAGTCCTCCCGATGTGAAAGGCTCTATACAAATGTAATTTTGTTGTTGTTGTAAACAGTATCAAATGCAACAATATTATTATTTTCTCTTAACAAAATATTCAAACATTGCAAATACTGTATATTTTAAATACATTTTCTCTTCAAACATTTATTTTTTTGTAAACCTACATTCAAATCAGTTGGTCCTATTTTAGGATTTTCTTTGGAGCGCTAGATATATTAGGTATACAGCAGACCAGGACTCCAACCACATAACAAGGCCACTGACTTCAGCTGTTTTTTTCAGATTCTGCACCTGCCTTCAGTCATCAGTGTCAGCTACAGAACATAGGCTTTTTGCAGCTTCCAAAATCCAGTCACCATGCAGCTGGCTTGAACCATCAAGATTATGTGTGCAAGAAGTGCTGATGCCAATTGAGATAACTGATGAACCTCATCTTGTTTATAGTTTCTGTTCCAGAGTTAGAGTAAACCTTGTTTGAATATTTTTTATATTTATGAATATATAATAATCCTTATTTGATATAGCGCTTTATCATTTCATCAAGATATCTCAAAGAACCTCACAGGATTTTCTGTCGTGTGTACATATTGTATTTGTAGACACACATGGCAGCTAATTTGCACACAGCAATGTCTCACAAATCACCATGAAGTGAATAACCATTTTATCTGGAGGATTGTTGGCCAGGACAGTGGGAGAAATTCCCTTTTCATTTCTAATAGTGCCAGAGGATCGTTAACGCCCACCTGTACATGCAGAAAGGACCTTGGTTTAATGTCTTATTGGAAGGGCGGCACCTCTGACAATATAGCGCATTGTATTAGAGTGTGAGTCTAGACTGGGAGTTTAAAGTCCTGACGTGGGACTTGATCCCACAATCTTCTAACTCAGAGGTGAGAGTGCTACAACTGAGCCAGTTGACATCTAAACGACTAAATTTGTTATTTCTTAATGATAACTGACAACAGCACAGCTAAACAAAACTTACAATAAAATAACTAACAGTATTTCCTCCCCAAAATAAAAGAAATGGCTGTAAATAAACTCAAGCTTATTTTCAGTTTCTGAGGTCTGTTAACTCCTATTTTTAAAACAATACATTGTTAAAGAAACTCAGTGTTTTTTTGTGCACTCTGAATTCTTGGAACAGGTTCCATTGAAACTCTGGCAAGTTGCCGGCATGAGTTTCGCCTATATGCATTTCGCCCACAAAATACACAATCAATTCTGTGAAGCGCTTTGAGACACCTTGAAGACGTAATAAGGCGCTATATCAAATGCAAGGAATATTATTATTCTGAGAAAAGTTCAGCCTGGAAGTAAATGATTTCTACCTTTTGTGCAATTTTTTTCACCACTTTTATGGTTGATGTGAATCTATTGGGAATTGTGACCTATACAATTCTGAGTGGTGACATGTATGTAAATGCATAGATTTCAGATAATGCAAGGGGAAATGCATGTTTATAAGTAAATCTCCATTATAAGAATACTTTGGCTTCAAGTGATATGGTTATGAGATTGAACCATCTGCAGTGCCTAGGGTTCCTGTTTGCTCAGCATGCATGACTAACAAAAAGTAAATAAACAATGGAGTCATCCGGGGGTTTTAACTTTTTTGTCATTAGAACAAAAGGAAAGTAATTAATGAGACAGTTCATTCATTCTGGATTTTCTTTTTAAAAAGGAAACAAAGGATATTAACACAAAATGAGGAACAAACACCAATACAAAGTAATATGAAATTACTATTTTATTTATTCTGCCTTCAATGTTTTCATTATTCGCAAATGAGTATTTTATATTGCACTTTTTGTGATTAGAACCACACAATAATTCCAGTTTACGATGTGTGATTGCTAAACAATTTATGCTGGAGACGAGCTGTTGAGATCACATTGAAGGGGTGATTTTACCATGTATCATTTTGCACACTGCTTTATACATATAGGTAGTATGAAATAATCAATACTACACAAATATATTCCCTTAAAATGTGATCAAATGGAGGGCCAAGAATTTTTAAGGGTCTATTTTATATGTTTTTAAAGAATTGAGGCTTCCTTTTGCACCTTCCTTCGTCAAATTGCTCTGTTGCAATACAAACTGGCTATAATATTGGTTGAGGCATTGATATAAATTTTCAGTCTCAGTTTAGAATGCTAAGGGAATTTCAGA